AAGTTTCTTGGAATGTATTCTTGACGGGTTGAAACTTCAAGGAATGCTTATTTCTATCTTAGGGAGAAAAAAACTTTTGAAAAGGAGCATTTTATTATTTTGGTGGTGATATATCAGGTGCAGAATGATATCGAAAAATAAACGCAGGAAATTTAAAGAGCTAAAAACAATTAAAATGTATGATCTTGTATACTCTACGACCCATGATTTTTTCTTCTTCTCCTTGAACTACAACTGCTAAAAAGTGCTACAATATTATAGAATTATTCTCCTCAGAAATAAAATGTATTCTTGACATTGGCTATGGGCCAAATTCAGCGTTCGCTCAGCGAACATATTCCACTCAGATCAAAACTGAAAGCTGTCAACCTAAGCCGTTCCTTGCTAAACATTTCTGGATGGTCAATGGCAATGAAATTTAGTGCTTAGATTTTGATTCAAGTTAGCCTTGTAGATTTAAATTAAAGGCGTTCTTCAGTTACATGCACAACCCATATGACATTGGTAAGAGGTTTCTACTGTCTCAATGAAAATGACTGACCTATCATTATACCTGAAACTTAATAATTCGGGACCATCAGCCTTCATATCATCACGGAAATTCCTGCATGTCTGAAACAGTTTTCCTCGCCATCGAAGCTATAGTGTTGTATTCTCCAAGTGAAATTAGCAGTTTAATTTGTTTGGTGTGTATAGGCAAAAGCTTGTTCAAGATATAAAGAAAGGTATTTCGATGGAGGTTTAAATCAATGGTGTCACTTTAATATAAGTCGCTTTAGTTAGTACGCTGGACCAAACTGTTCTGGATCAACGTTTTATGACGACAAAAAATTAAATAAGCAAAGGGACGCAAATAAGACTTGAGTTATAGTGTGTTTAAATTTGCAGACTGAATCACAAAAATATAGAAAATAACGCGATTTATCATAAGAAATAATAGTCACGTTTTTCATCGACATCGTTATACCATTGTTGTGAGAGGAACATCGCTACGCGTTTGTGGATTTTTTTCACGTGCCTTTAACGAGGTGGCATGAGGAAAGAGCGATAATCTATCTAAACAGCACTATAATCCTATGACACACATCAGATACATGAAAGATTCAAGTCGTGATACTACCACCAAAGGGCCTCAGCAAAGTTAGTTCAAGCTGTTATGTAATAAAGTGCGAGGAAAGACAAGCTCCTAGTAAATGAGCCCAAAAGAAAGGTCCGGAAGCTTTCCCCGAAGCACAGAAAGAAGTTTCTGAAGTGTTTGGCCGACAACGCTTTAATACGGCAGTATCATGTGCAATTGTGGCTTACATGAAGCGCCAGCCGGCGAGCTTCAAAGCAGGTGGAAGATCGGTCTTGTGGCAAGAACAGTTTAAAGACTTTAAAGAAGATCGATGTCTGAAGACAGTAACGTATTTCAGTGGCCAACTAAGTTGTAAGCCTTTCTCGTGCTTTTTTGTCTGATCCTTGAAAAAAATCCACCAACACGTAAAGATGTTCTTCGCAAAACAACACTTCAAATGTGACTCTTTTTTCTCAGAAATCACGTGATTTTGCACACTTTTGTGATCCAGTTCCCAAATTTGGACAGGCTGTAACGCACGCGTTATTCCTTGCGTGATCAATATAAAGACAACTTTCCATGAGTGGAATTTAATAAGCTATAAGACAATCAAAAAATTATTTATGACACTTTGCTTGTTTTATTTTTGTGTGTGTGTAAAACGTCGATCCAGAACAGTTTTGTCCAGCGTACAAAGAATGGCTCAAAGAAAGGAACTGAATCGCCGACGCGTTTTTGGAAAATTAGATAAGTTGAATAACTCTTTCATACAGTGATGTGATGTATTTACTTTCGATCAGATTATTTCTGCTTTCGTTCACCGTCTAGTTTATCCAAACATTGACTACATGAAATTCTCTGCAGTATTGTGAATAGAATAGAACAGAACAGCGGAATAGAATAATATAGCACAGCATAGCATAACATAGCATAGCATAGCATAGCATAGCATAGGGTTGCAAAATCTAGCCGATCATGGTCTAGTATAGGGTAAGGGTTTCAATGTCCCAGCAGCACACCCCCACCCAAAGATTTACAGAGTATCCCTGAACTTAATCACACTGTGTGCGTGCGATCGTGTCACGCGTCTGTTGATATTCTTATTAGTGCGGCCTTTAATATCAATAGTAAGAAGTGACTAACAGGGGAGAAAGAGACAAGTTGTTTCTTTCTTCCCTCTCGGCAATTCGTGCCTCTTACGAAAAGCTCACCCCCATGTAAAAAAAAAAGAAATGTTGTCANATCACGACGTTAAATATGTCACTATCAACAGAATGTGCCGCAGCATTACTATCTTTTAGATACCCTAGTTCTAGTTATAGTTTAACTGATTGGTAAGTTCAGGACAGAAAGAGGGCGTTGGCTGGGCGACATGCGCAACTGCAACAATTGGGAATAGAATAAACTGTGCGCACCTTTCGCCATCAGCCAGCAACAGCTTGTAGATTGTGGCTATTCCGTGTTAACTATCCTGGTGAATAAGTCGAAAGTAAAGGTAAATTGGTGTAAGATGACTGCGTACCTTTTTGAAACACTTTCAAAGTTTTGGAAAATGATGTTGAACACATCAATAGAATTACGCGTTCTTGAATCTTATTGCAAGAAGCAATGGTTCCGCGCCTTTTCGATGATCTAGCAATATCGCGTTGAAGACTGGAGTATATTTCCTCCTTACTTACTTAAAAGACTGTCATTCTTTGTCGCCGATCAACGTGTTGTCGGAAGTGGACGATTTAAACGCAGCACGTATTGATTTCTTCTGCTTGTCACGATTTCAAGTCAGAGCAAGGCGGTCATCGAATGACGATTTTTTTTTTCGAATGAACAATCTCAGCACTTTATTTGAAGTTTCACTTCATTTCTTGATCAGTTCATCCACACGCCCCAATAACTGTTGTTTAGTGTGAAGAGGTTTTGTGCAAGGCAGTATTCTGGTCCCAGGCAATGTTCTCAAGACCATCTCTGAACGCAGCTTCTAGTGCAATTGACGCATGCCATCCTTCGGTCGTAATTACAAATTTACATTACATATAATGTGTTTGCTTTCTGCTTTTAAACAGGGAAACAGTTTAGACTTGAGCTGAGGGCAATTTTGAGGATGGCTTGTTAAGCTTATAATCTAAACTTTGCATTGTAAAATTCATCCAAAGTATTATTAGAAGAGAAATTTGCGTTTTGGGAGACACTTTAGCCGCCGTTGGTTTTACTTGAAGTTCTAGGGCTTTCAAGCCACATAATTATATTTCCGAGAAGCAATGTTTAAGGGCGCATAGAGCACATTACATGTATCCAAAGTTTAGAGAATATTGGTTTCAAAGTTTTACAAATTTGTTTCCAAAGTTTATACTAAAGTAACTTGCGCGGCAAAATTGAGATTAATTACATTATAACGTCTGTATTGTTCATTAAAATTTTAATTACTTTTTCCATATCAAGAAGTGTTAACGTATTCAGGTAGGGAATTTATTTTACTTTAACTGAAAAGCGTAGGCGTTGGCTGACGAACATGCGAAATCGCGACAATTGTAAACAATAAACTGTAAGCAACCTTCGCCATCAGCTCTAAAGAGCGTGTAAATTGTTTCCATTAAGTGTTAACTGTTCTGTTGCCGAATGAAAAGGAGGTGAGTTGGTATAAGATGATTACGCAGTTTCTTCTTAATTATGGTGCGCCGCAACAGAGCAAGTCAATAGAATCAAGCACTCACAAGAAGCAATTCGTTGGTTCATCTAGATTAGATTAAAGACGAAGGTCTATTTTTTCTCCTGACTTACGTAACAAACTTTTATTCTATGTTGCTGATCAACGTATTTTAGAAGTGGAAGCACTTAAACCAACTGAAATGATAAAATTGAAAGTATTTCTTTGTTCGGTGTCCTCAGCGATAAACCTCACAGAAATTTCAATACTTCGATTTTTATAAAACTGAATTACGAACGCGCGCGTTTCTGGAAAATTTCATGAGTTGCATAACCCTCTCAGAATACCAAAACAATGTATTTACGTGTATACTTTTGATTATGTTATTTATTTTCCGTTCTTTGTGTAGTTTATCGTGTAAAATTTCAATCGAATTTTGAATGCAACTTGCAGAATTCAGTTACATTGTCTTTTCTTACGCGTTCTTGAGTCATATTACAAGAAGCAATGGTTGCGCGGGCTTATAACGATCTAGCTAGATCGCGATAAAGACGTATTTTTCCTGATCAACGTGTTTTAGAACTGGACGATTTAAATGCTGCACGTGTACATGTTGAATTCCTCTGCTTGTCACAATTTTAAAGTAGAACAAGCTGGCTGTCCATTAATTTTCTTGGAATGAACAATCTATACGCACTTTATTATCTATTTCGCTTCACTTCTACGTTATGGTTGTTTGCTTTTATTAATTTTTAAATCAATTAAAGGACACAGACCTTTATAACCAAGAAAATACAATGATATATATAAGTTGCAAGGTGAAGAGGTTTTTGTGCGGGGCCATTCAGGTTCCAACCATTATTATATAGGCACGAGTGTTCTATTGGAAAATATATCATTCGTATACCACATCAGAGACTCGGGTGGCGTACTTACCATATCCTTACTAGTGAAGATATCGATTACTTCACTGATATCATGTCTGACCCTTAAACTGTACTTAAATTTGTTGGAGTATGAACGAAACATCTTCGGATCTTCCTCGAAAGTCTTCGGCAGTCTTCGGTAATCTTCGGAAATATTCGTAATTAGTTCGGAAACGTTCATGTGGCCTTCGGACAATTTTTGGAGATTCTTCGGAAATCTTCGGAAAGTGGTCGGAACAAAAAAGCTTCAGAAAATCGTCAAAAACTTCGTTATCAGTATGTCTATTTTAAAAACAAAATAATACATGGTTGCTTGTAGATATGGAATGTATCTTCGAGTCTTCAACTTTATATCTCACCCTTTCGCTGTGCTCACTCGTGAGATATCAATTTGAACACTCGAAGATATATTCCATATCTACACGTGCCCATGTACTATCCTCTATTTTCTAGGAATTGAAAGGGTGCTTATGGCCTTGTCATGCATAATTTGCTGGCCATGGCGTTTTTCCATTTTCTTTTATCGTTTGGCGTAGATAGTTGCTGCTTTGTTTTCAATAACCGGTCTCTCTGGAATGCCGAGCTCTTTACAACATTGTGTAGCTTCTTTCGCGACAGAGTAGATTTTCTTCCTTTCAGTCGTAACTTTTTACTAATTGGAAGAGTGGACCATCTTTTCCTGTCAAATATGCATTAACCTCTATGGTGGTGGTTTTAACGGACAATTTGAGTTCAACTGTTATTATACAGCAGTTAAAAACTTCTGTATGCTATCCAGACGACCAAGACGTAATTGGTGTGCGTTCTCGTTATTCTCAAACACAATCACCTTTCTAAAACCAATTTTCTTACCGTTCACAGACTTGGCAGTTATCATGGCAGACCTCCGTAGCAAGCTCCAACTGGTTCTTGAAAGAGTCGAGGACTTCCTGAAAAAGGGCATCGGAGAATCAACCGAGGAAACTGAAAAACGACTGGCAACACTCCGTGAAATTTCTGAAATCCTAGCAGGTATTATCGCAGAAAAAGGCCAAGTTCAGGAAGAGGCATTCGAGGGGAACCAGTGCATAGTACTCATAGTGAGACTTAACGAAATTCTCCTTTTTGGGCTTTACATTGAGTGTCTGACTCAGCTCTCCAACCGGTCCAACATGGTCAATGAAATGGAGAACAAACAGAAAGAGGATAAATCGAGTGCACTTCCTGAATTCATGCAAGTAAAGTACGATCAAGTTAAGTCCTACCTGGAAAAAGCCGAAGGGCAACTAAAGAAAATCGATGAAACGCTTTCTGAGCTGTTGCCAAAGGTGAGAGTTTACTATCTGCTGCATGCGGCCTTTTTGCCGGTTTCACTGCCATAAATAGTCCATTATTTACGCCTCAAATTCAGTCGACTCACCCTGAGATATTAAATTGGGAAACAATTCGCCCTGTGTATTTTATACCGGCCCGACTATTCCGTGACCTATGAAATTTCATCTGAAGTAAGCCTTTTTTTAGCCCAAGCGCGTATCTTCGTTTGCTCGTTTGCTTAGCAGCTTCAGACAACACTTTTTCAAAGTATTCCACAGCATAATGAATAGGGTTTTGTGCGGTTACTTCTACATAAAAAAAGAGAAAGGAAGGAAGAAAAAATGAATAAATTTCATTTGTTTCACTTACCCTCGTTTAGTCCTTTAGCTCAAGTGCCAGTGGGGCTGAGCAGAACTAAGGTTTCACAAGGTGAAGCGGCAGCTGAGAGCTGTAGGAGGCTTGCGAGTAAGCTACTTACAAACGGGCCGACTTATCAGTGAGTAAGAATCTTGATAGATGCGACTCTTGAAAGCTAAATCTTTGCTTTCCGTCTAAAATATGTGAAAATTTCAGAGTCCTGAACATTCAGTCAATTTAAGACCGTTCCTCGGCCGGCGGCTGTCGGTCACATAATCAGATTGTGTTTGATACAGAACTCTCTAGATCAGTTTTTTCTTCTAGCTTACAGTATGAGGTAACCAGTGATATTTGGTTTCCGTGGCTGACAAAGTGCTCTTGGGGCATAATGTCAGTTTTACAAATTATGTCAGTGCTAAAAGCCTAATTCAGTCTCAAAATGACAATTAGTTGTGTGACCTACAGGTAAAGGAGGCAAAAATAAACAAATTCGAAATCCCAGATAAGGAGATCGCTGCTTTGGAAATGGATAAAGAAGATATCGAGAATGAGTTACAGACATGCAAGAAGTACCTGGACAGTGCCGAGGAAATGCTCAGCAAGCTGAAGGAGGATATAACATCAGAAACGTGGAAGTTTGGTGTCAAGGTGGTAGGAGCATCTGCAGGAGTTGCGGCAGTAGTAGCTGTTGGCGGTGGTAAGCTAATAATTTTATCCTTTTGGTTTACCAGTTTTTATTCTAATAATTTTATAGACGATGTAAACATTCGTTTGCAATACGTACAAAAAATTTTCATTCGATCAACAGAATTAATCAATACCGACTGGGAAAATAATCAGCGCATGCATGATCACCACAATTATAGGTGCATTTTACTTTCGGAAAATTTCTTAATGAGTTTGACCTAACTTTCGAATATTTTGATTCAATGGGCGTATGGTAGTTTCTTCATTCATAATTACATGAAATTTTCGTGCGTCAAATGTCCGTCAGTGTTTCGAAATCGCAAAAATTTGATGAGCAAAAGCATACTGTGAAAATTGGCGGAAAAAATCATGCCCTTCGCTTGGCTAACCCACAGGGTACCTAGGCTCACGATGCGACAAGGGCTAACCACGTGCATAAGTTGCCCGATATTTCTCAAAAAGATTCTCAAAAAGCGCTGCGAAACTTCGGAAAGTTTCGTTTTTTCATTTACGCGCAAAAATAGCTTGCGGTTCGAAACGTCGAAGCTTGGAAAGTTTGATTTTCGGACTACACCGAAGGAGTTTTTAGCCAAAGGAGTAAAATTTGAATCGCACGGTTCTAACTCTTCAGTCTCGAAGATCTACATCTGATTCGGAAAAGTCGTGTTAGGTCGTCGTTTGGGAGGTTTAGATCATTATGAGCTAGTGGAAAAATGGCTAACACCAATGTCAATCAAACCTACAGTTTTAAAACTTTCAATAAATCTCCGTTACATGTGTGAAGTAGTTTTCCCGACCGGGTTCAGCTGATGAAACAATTCGCCGCCAAATCATAGACTACGCCCTGAGTAATCCCTCTTTCGTGATTAGTCCTTCGAACGTGACCATGAATAAACCGCGAGAAAAGTATGGCCGCGCGAAATCCTGGGCTTCTTGCTCTTAGTATTTCGCCCGGCCATTTTGTGCTCGAAGTTTCTTTCGCGTTGCGCACGATGGACTAAGCGAAAGAGGGACTGAATCGTAGTCTACCAAATCAAAGTGACATGATTGATTTATTTTTAAGCCGGCGCTAGCGTTTAGGTAAAAGTTAATTACAAAAAATAATATAATTTAGCCGGCTGTAAAGCTTCATAAAACTCATAATAAAGCTTCATAATATTGCCGCCTTCGCCGCCGCCGCTTTTACCGGGGCCCAGTTGTTCGAAGGCTGAATAACGATATGCAGCGGATAAATCGCTATCCAGTGGATGTTAACAAAACAAACCGTGTTATCTGCTAGATAGTGATTAATCCGGTGGATAGCGTCGACCACCTCTGAACTACCCAGACCAGATGATTACATCGCAAGACTAGGATCCCTACGGTTAGCCCCTCAGTTCCAAACTATCAGTAGGTCTGGGCTCGCTTTTATATGTAATTGCTTATTTCTACCTTATCCCAACGTTCAGTTTCATTTAACATTATTTTCCTAGCTCGCTTTGCCACCAATGAAATTGCGAAGATTTGCCAATCCCTTGGTAGAGGTGGGTCAGTAGCCGTGGGTGCGTTAGCAGGAGTAGCTCTTCTCATTGGCCTTTGGAGTATTATAGATAGATACAAAACATCGTATAGAAACTATGTTGATCCTTTGAAGGTGAAATTGCACGGGCTACAGACAGAATATGGTATAATGGAAGAAACATTTAAGACAAGAGTGACCGATAGAATGAACGCGAAGAATTAAAGAATCATGAGATATTCACCAAATGACAAAAGGAATAAAAAACGAAAACGAAAACGTGTTAAAACCATATTAAACATGATATGTATGCGCTTTCATGAAAGAAGAAGAGATTTGTAATACTCTAGGAAAAACTAGCTATAGGGCTTTTTTACATTAGATGAAGATGTAGTCTCCATTGCTGAGCTCGAGTGGAACTGGGCCTTGTGCCATTAATTAAATTCGCGAACAGACCATCGCTAAGTCGTTTTCTTACGAGAATCAATAGCCAGTAACGTTGAATTAGTTTGGATACGCACTAAAACACAATTACACTCCGACGTCATTGTTCTTCGAGGGCCCTGATCTAAGAAGAAGAGCCTCTCGTGAATCTGATGACACGCCAGTGTCGCATCAATACGGGAGGGAGATTTCATCTTATGAAATTGAATTCACACCAACAACGGTGAAGAATACATACATTTATACCATGCCATAGAAATTACAGCCAATCAGAATACAGGAAAGCCGTTGTATATTCGACGGTATCACACCTAACCTTCCCATCGTGCCCTACGCGTATTTCGCATTGATTGTGATGGCCACTGTATTTTCTATGGCATGGTATAAAATAGTTATACAACGCTCTTTAAGGGGCTGGTGTGTATACCGAGAAAATACAAATGACTCGTGGCATATTCCATGGTATACCACTCGAAAGTGTTGCATAACTAGTATGTATTCTGCTTCGCATAGTTTCATATAGAATCATTACTTAGCTCTTATTAACCGAGCAGGAGGTCTGTATGGGAGAATCTTGACCGAGGTCGACGGTGAGTACAGACCGAACGCAGTGAGGTCTGTACACACGACCGAGGTTAAGATTCTCCCATACAAACCGATTTAGCTCGGTTAATAAGATGTTTATTATATGGCAAAGAAGAAAACTTTAATTCGCTTAATGTAACTGGTTTGAATGCGAACGGCGATGAGCTTAACTTGAACCTGCCGAAATTTGCTCGTCNAACGGCGATGAGCTTAACTTGAACCTGCCGAAATTTGCTCGTCCTCTTTACTTTTTTTTTTGTCATCAGGCTTTTTGGCACATCCATAAATGGTCAACATTTTTGTATTTTAGTTTGCTACTTTTTCAACGCAAAATGAAACCGGTCTAGAAGCAGGTCTAGATGGGAAAATCTAGACCGCGGTCAATATCGATTTCAGCCAATCAAATTCGTGAATTCAGTAGTTCCCAGTGAAAGGGTATTATCCTAGACAGAAGCTGGCCATTTATCTCCAAGATAAGAATGTTTCGTGCACTAATTCAGTCGTAGTGAGGAGTGACTGTAGGAACGATCGTACAATCAGAGTATTTGCTCATTCCTTTGAATTCTTTGACGCTGAATCCCATAGAGAACCTCATTTTACAGTTGACAGTAAAGCGCACCTGATTATTCAACGAGAAAATTTCACCGAATAATCTTTGGATATTGGTAAATTTTCCTACCTCATGTTAATGTTATAAGCGTCAGGACGTCCTCGTGGTTGTCAAAACGTTTTTCTATATAATAAGTTTAATTTGCCGAATAACAACCATCTGTTTACCTGAACGTAGTGTGCACCCGAGTTTTAAGTTTCAAAAAAAGTATTTAGTTCAGTTCGGGCGGGATTTAGTTTTCGGGAGCTGGGCTGTCTGTCTGTCTGTCTGTCTGTCTGAAAATTAGATCGGATTTGCAAACCGAAAGTTAGGGAGTTTAAAAGTACGTGGTCGCTTGTACTTTATGTTTATGTGTATCTCAGTATCAGGGAAAACATTGCATTTCTCTTTGTTTTTTCTTTTTAGTTATGCTATATACTCGTATAGTGGTAAATGTTAAAAAAAAATGTGCATATAATTCTGTTACAATAGACTTGAAAAGTCTTCATTTTAATCTCACTTTCTTTCTCTTACGAAATTACTTTACTTTATAGTCCCGCTATTTGGGGCGGCATCAGCTCCCCTGGCCGTCGCCTTCTTGGTGTGGAGAGGTTGGTTTCCTGAGAAAAAATATTATTTCAAGTTACTTTTGAGTTTTCGTAATCACTCATGTTTAATGCAAGAAAGTGACCACATAAAACTGACATTAAAAGAAATTCGCTGTAAATTTCTTTGCTAGTGACTTTAGCTCTGCCTATACCATAATTACAGTTTCCGCATATGAAACACAATGATGGAACCTTTTACACGGAGTCGAGTGTAACATGCTTTTCAACTTTCGTCAGTTACTTCATTACTTAAGCCTAGCTTGTTTTAATTCTCAGGAACCGTTCATTTTTAATCGATCGGAGGGGGGAATGGATGAGAAGTTAAGAAACCCCTATTTGGTTCCGATTTTTAGGAGCCTCTACTCTATATATCGGTAAAAGTCGTCACAAACCACATCATTTTGCTACTTTACAGCTATACATGTGACATTGAGATGTATAGCAGTTGTTCAGAAGATCTTCTCCACAAAAGTTCAAGTTAACAGGTTCATTTACAAGTTTAACATTCAAACGCTCCTGAATTTTGCCTATTCTATGGGGATATTCGAATGAATTTGATAGGTACCAAGGGAACATTCTCTCATACTATGTATGAAGAGTTTCTATTAATACAAATCTTAGGGTTAGAATGTCAACTTCTCTAACACGATCTAACTTACTAATTGTCCGCTGACACCAATGTTAATGACCAAAGTTGAAGATGTTTTTCTAAAATGAGTATTTCTTAGTTTTCTCTATCCTAACCAACTTTAAGTAGTCTTTTTAGTTCGTTTTTCTAAAGAGATAACAAAAAATGTCTCAATGGGTATTCCGCTCTCACTCATGTTGGGAGAAACTGCATTGATAGGTACAAAATACACTCTTACAGAATCCTATGCGAAACATTCTACGAGCGCCCTAAAAAACTGATTTCAAGATTCAAGACCCCACATAGTAGCTAGCTAAAAACATTCAGAATCTCTTACTAAGAGAGAAAATGATTTTCTCACCCAGTTCCCCTCTCCAATAAATAATGAGCGTTTCCTGAGCATGCACTCCAGTTGAATAAACTACAGAATCTGGAAACAGCTGACGAAAAATATTTTCTGTTTTACAAACAAAAGCTACCTGCTAAGGCAGAACTTCTGTTTTTCACCTTTTGTCGGATGCAGAATAAAGATTAACAATGTCAAAACCGTTACTCGGAGATGAAATCGGTTAAAACAAAAAGTAAACATGCGTTAACGAGTAAAAGAGAGGCTCTCCATGGGTACAAACGGACTTCCTTTCCATGTATTTCTTTTTTCCTTTTACAAGTTACTTCTATATTTTCGGCAGTTGCTATCTTCATTATCCTGTGAAGGATTTGTACATCGCCATTCCTCAGTCACTTCTTCGATACGACGTCCAGTGACGTGCTTTCATTTAGAAACGTGACCGGATGGTTGTTGTTCCAGTGATCAATATTTAAACGTTACAAATTTGCTTAAATTGGTATCAATTGATGCGCACTGTTTTCATCGAAATCAGAGGCTAGAGGCATGCAAACTCAGTTAACCGCCCTGGGACGAGGGCGGGGGGGTGGGGCGCAGGGGGGCGGTGCTCGATAGCCTTGGATAGTTGGATAGTTAAGTGAATTCAAAACTTTTCTTTGACTGCCAAATTGAAAGAGAATGTAGAATGAATCCAATTTAGCTGTCATTTGAAATGGTAATACCTTTCCAAAATCTGATAGTGTAAAACCATGAATCCCATGATGATGATGCCTTTTATTACTCCGTCTCGGAGCATAGGCCACAGATAAAGCGCCTCCACCCTCCTCTGTCTCTGGCCATCTGTTCAATCTGATTCCAGGTGTAGCCTGATTCCAGGTGTAGCCATTATATATTTAAATAACGCGGCTTTCCAAGGCTTTCCAAAAGACAGTCAACGTGTGTTTTGGTGATAAGGCGTACACAAAATCATTAACCTAAACATAACTGATTTGCAATATCGCCTGCAGTTTGTTGAACTTTTCCCCGACCTTTCGTAGATTACATGGTATTTTGGCTACGCTACTATTTGCAATCTCAGCATGAACTTCGTGATCGCTTTGCGTTTCGTTAAGGCAGTCATTGGAGAGCCGCTCTGTTATCTTGTTAACAGCTGTCACAGCTAGAATAGATAAATAATTGTTTCATCCAATACAATTAAAGCGGTCAATTGCGAACAGTTGACTGGTTTAGGGGGTGCACTAGGGCTCTAAATACCCGCTTCACGTCACGTTTGCTCTCAGTTCCCGCCCTAGATAGTGTAATGCAACTCAGTCGAGAATTTTTCCTAGTTCTTACCTCTCCCGCCACCTTGGGAACTCCGGGTTTCCCCATTTCGGTTTTCCTTTCGGCCTCCTCCCGCAGATTCCCTTGTACATCCTTCTCCTCCACTCAATACTGTTCAGCTTGACCATATGTAGTTTGTAAATCTGCAAATCGCAGAATGTGGAGGGGAGAAACATGTCTGGTACATATTGTTTGCTTATGCTTGAATTGACTGGCCTAGTAGGGTACAAGTACAGTACAGTATGTGTTACTAATCCCATCCTCGAGATCAACTGCGTGCTACATGCCGGGTACTTCAGTGATGTTTGCTAAAAACTGCATGTGTTTCTCCGACTGGTGTTAGTCGGTTGTTTTATGTCTTGTTGAGTTTTTTTAAAATAGATTCAATCCTGTTTAATTCCTGATATTTCAACCGAAAGATTGAAGAGGTTTCCTCTTGTAAGGGAAAGAATCTGTATTTAGAACTTTACTTAAAAATTAGTTAGAACTCCATTTAAGGACAGAAAATTGGCTTAATTCATGTAGCAAAAAGTGAGAGTTTTATTGATTTGTAGAAGACAGGATTTAAGTAGCGTTTTCTTATTATTCATTCCATTACATTTACGATATACGATTTAATTGTGGGTTTTAAAACTGAGAGCTATTCTTCTTCGTACCTTAAGCTCTTGTTAAGGTTAATCTATTTTAGATTTCATGATTAAGAATGTACAGGTTCAACCCTTTCAGTGCCAAGTATAATCTACGTTTCATTTCTCCTTAAGATATCGATACATTGTCAAATAGAAAGGTAACGAGAATGAAAAAGTCTCTGAATGAATTCTAAAGAAAGACTCGGCTATCAACTGTGAGAATTAAGATTAAAAAAAGGAAGCTATGAAAGGGTTGAAGAATTCTTGGCAGTGTAAAACTAGATAGTTAAAGAATGGGCGTAGTATTGAAAGGCTGAATATACCAACAGCCTTATTGTAAGGTATCAAGGCTTAACTGAGAATATAGACATTTATTAAGAAACATTTATACTGTATTAGTATCATGTTATGCGGTTATATATTTAGAGATTTTAACCTTCAGTACGGTAATCTATATAGCCTGTTTTTCAACTACTTTTAGTTTGTAAGAAAATGCTTGGCTTTAATTAAAAGAAAGGTTCAGTTGAGCATAATGTTTTAGATG